TCCCTCCTGGACCGAAAACAAAAAAATAAGACAATGGCTTTTGGGGCGAATATGCAAAATAAATTTCACTTCCGAATCCGAATGCGAATCCTGGGGCTGCTCTCTGCTCTCTGCTTGTTGTTTCATGGCTTGTTTTACATATGTCCGCACCTAAGCAGAAGACACAAGACCACGACGTCGACGACGACGACGACGACGACGACGATGGAGATGGGCCTGGTCACCCACCATCATCAGGCTGGAAGGCAGCCCTGGGGGACACTCGACAATGGGCCAAATGGCCGGCTCGAAAAGGCAAAATGCAGGCAAGGCAACTCGTAAATCCGCTTCGATTGCTTCGCTCGAAATCCATTCGGAATTGATTGCATTTGGGGCAGGATCAGCCAGGGGTGCGGTCGAGGATTGTGGGTGCCTGCTCAAAATGTTGCAATTAATTTTTGCACAATGCTCTTTGTGCTATTTAGTTATGGAAGACTCCTTCGACTCACTTAATTGTCCCCCCCCCCCCCCGAAAAAGAAACAAAAACAAAAGCAAAAACAGAACAGAGCTGAATCCAAAACGGTAGCTCCGAATCGGGGATAAGGAAGAGCAGACTCCTCGGAAAGAGACTCCTTTCGGGGTTCCTTCTGGGTTTTGCTTCTGGGTTTTGGGCTTTTGGGCTTTTGGGGTATCTGCTTTGTGGCCTTTGATTTGCATATATTTTGGTTTTAATTAGTTAACAAGCTGCTTTCGTTTGTTGCGATTGCATGTTGAACCACGACGCGTATCGTAGATGCTGCTGCAGGTATCTCCTGCCCCATGCCACACTCTACTCCTCTCTGGGGTTGCATGCATAAGGAGAGGACAGCAACAACAACAACAACAACAGCAACAGCAACGTATAAAATCAAACACGATTTTTAGCAGTTTTCAATTCCCGGAAATCTTGTACGATATGTAGCACCATACAACTGTGGATTGTGCTGATTGTTGCTGTTGCTGTTGCTGTTGCTGTTGCCGTTGCTGCTGCTGTTGTTGCCGTAAGCCTCATCCCTATCCTGCTGCTGCTGCTGCCCAGGCCCAGGCACAGGCACAGGCACAGGCTCAAGCCCGCGCGCTCGATACGATTCCGATTCCGATTCCCCAGTATCGTGCAAATGTTTCATTATTTAACTGATTTCAGTTAGCCAAAGACGACAACAGCTGGCCCCAAGCAGGAGGAGTCTGCCGGCGGACAGGCAACAACCAGACAACTTCAGTTGCTGGAATACCAGCGAAAATTCCAAGATGTTGTCATCAATTAAGCTGTGGCCCGACCGCGGCCAAGTGGATGCCGAGTGGATGGCTGTTCACACCTGAGAGAACTTTATTAGTCCAGTGCAGGGCCAAAAAAGGTGGCAAAGATGCGTAAATTATGGTCTAGGCACTGAAAGCAAATGGCGCTGGCCAATAAAATGCCAGATAAATCAAGCCAAAGACAAAGACCCACTGCAGGACCAGGACCCAGACCAAGACCCAGACCAAGACCAAGACCAAGACTGAGTGCAGGACGGACTGCACGCGAAGGTGAAGGTGGAAATCAGCAGTTGGAGCTGAGCAAATTCAGCAGAAATGAGCGGAGACAGAACTTATTTGCATTCGCCTTGTTGTCAGCCAAGTTGTCGTCGTCTCGGGCTCCGTCGCTGTCTCAGTCTCTGTCTCTGTCTCTGCCCCTGGCTCCGTCTTCGTCTGAGTCTTTGGTTCCTGTCTTCGTCTCCATGGCATCCTGCTACTGACAGTTGGCTCTTGAGGCTAGGGAAGGGCACGGGGATCGAGAGAGAGCGGGTAAAAGCCAAGCATGAAAACTGTTGCCCACGAGTCTGGCGAGTACGCGGTAGAGCATTCTGCCAGACAGCCTTTTGTTTCATCTTGTTAAGGCTTGAACTTTATGCCTGCTCCCGAGCTACTAGCCCCAGTCCCCCCCCTCAATCCCCCGCCATCCAGAGGCTCTACTGCCTGGTTATTGTTTCTGGTTGGGGTCTTTCTCTGCTCGTTCTTCTTGTTTTTGTTTTTGTTTTTATTTTTGCTACAATTCCTGGAACTTTTCAGGTGGCACAGCATGTTTGGGGGCCAGACACACTTTTGGTGGCCTCGTGCAGTCCCCATTGTGGGGGCTTTCAATTAAAATATATTTAAGAATAATTTGGTTAGAACAGAGGGAGACAGAGAGAGAGAGAGACAGAGAATGATGGGGTTAGAGAGGGAGAAAATGTACAAAAATATAGAACAAAGTATAGGGGTCTCTTCTTTATCAATTTTCAAAAATAAAACCTCTGTGAATCCATCAAAAAGATATACCATTTGGTAAAGATCTCAAAGAAACCCAAAGATTTCTTAGATGTAAACATAAGAATAGCCTTTTAAAGCGTTCCTTAGGCTAATTATTTTCTTTTAGAGCTCTTACGGCCTAAGATTTCCCTTTGCCGTTCAATCAATAAATTATAAGTTATCTCTTTATATATTTATGGTCAACACCCCGCCTAGTTTTTATTTATTGCTCGCTCATTCTTTTACCCTTTTTTTGCATTTTGTGACGGCTTTTCATCAAAGGAGTCACGATGATGGCAACTGTGGCGCATACAAATGAATGGTTTTGGCTTAATGTGGTCTGCGAAAAATACAAACAAAAAGTAAAAAACTTAAATGTTGTTTGGGCATGTTTTATATGTCATTATACAATCAGCACAAGTCGCACAAATCGCTGAAAATTAAGCAGAAAGAACTAAGCTCGGATCTGGCCCCTGCGGCGGCACCAGCGGCAAGAATATCACTTTTACAGACATACACTGCGTGCCACAACTGTAAAACAAGCTGGAATAAAAAGTGAAAATGAATCTAAAACTGGGGAGCAGACAAGATGGAGATCTAAAGTCTCTTTTCGGAAACTTCTATTCACCCGTCTATGAGCCTATGAAACGCACTGTATATACATAGGTATAAACCCAAAAATAAACGACATCTAGGCTGGAGGAATGCGTAATTTTTGTATATGTTTTCAGCTCGCTGATATCTTTTTATAGCCCAAATATTTAAGCATAAAAGGGTATATTGTATTCGTGCAAATCGATGTAGAAAGGAGGGAAAGACAGGGGGAAACGTTTCCACGATTGTTCCTCTTCGTTCTAACAACTCCTAGCAAATGTAAAGAAGAATTATTGATCGATTTTGTATATACATATGTTACTTAATGTACTTAGTGCATGAGAAATAAAACCAAGTAGCGGGTATCATATAGTCGGAATTCCGATCTAAGCACTTTTAGTTGTCTTTAATTTAGTTTTTTTTTTATACAAATTTACGAGCACGTCGTTAGTTTTGGTTTCTTTTGGGGGATTCGCTTCGAATGTTTGGCTTGTGGCAAATGGCCGTGCAGAGAGATGCTTATCGGGGGGGCAATGTTAATGTCCAGCATTTAAAAGTGTAATTAACGCAATTTGAAATATGAAGCGACACAACAAACAAAAGACTGAGGCAACAAACTTGCAGAGGGTCCCCAGACGTCGGCCAAAAAGGAAGCAGGAAGCCCGGGACGAGGCATGAGAATATTTGATCATGACTCACAGACGGCTCGTGCTTGACACGTATTCCAGGAATGTCCCTCTGCCACACACACACACGCTCACACTGGTTCTATCCTCCGGTAGCTACTGCCTTGATTCTGCACACAGAATTTCTAATTAGCCAAGGGCTCACACTCCCATTCCCATTCCATTCCTGCGCCTGTTCTCCTTACCAATATTTATGCGTTCATAGGACTGCGCGCATCTATCAATTGGTAACCTGCTACGGCTGCTCCGTTTGGGTGGCCAGCCACTTGTCTTTTGTCCTCTATAAATTATATTCGAACCGGTGCCTAGAATATTTGATTTGATTTCACTCGTTTCGTGTAATTTATGGGATTTTTCTTGGGGTTTTCTAATGTTTTTATAATTTGTCTTTATTGGTTTCTTTTTTTTTTAGTTTCTTGTTGTTGGTATGCCTTGCTCGCTTCCAGTGTTTTTTATTCAGTTTTTCAGATTTAAATTTTCCATTTGGTTATTGTACGAGTAGCTTAGAATTTGCATAACTGTTTCATATAAATTATCGTAATTAACTAGGTGAATGTTAATGAGCGTACAAAAAAGCGTGACAAGGCTGGCTTAAGGACTTCGATTTGGTTTTGGTTTCGGTTTCGGTTTGGGATTTGGATCTTGGTTTGACTGCTGCCACTAGTAAAACTCAACAATTTCTTTTTTGTTTTTTTTTTGCGTATCTTACAATGAACTTTCAAGGGGCTACAGCATTCGAATTTCTTTAACTATGACTTTTCCATACTTTAGTTGATTTCACGTACATATAGGTTTATATTTAGTTTAAAACGCTTTAATAATAATTTTAGTTTATCCTCTGTTTTACTGGTTTACTTTTGTTTCTGTTGTAGTGTTCCATTTTTGTTTTTTCGCTAAGCAAAAATTCAATTTATAAATAATAAGCGAAAAGTAAATATATTTTTATATAAAAATTATAAAAAAATAATAATATTCATATAATCACACCAATAAACACTAAACATAAGTCTAACTAAACGTGGACACAGACAACGGAATCGGTAGAGACGCCAGGGACTGGAGAGCGGCTCGATCAAGCCAGAATGAAGAGGTTTATGCGTGTGTTTATTTGTGTTTGTGTGGGTTGTGTGCAGAGATTAACTAACAGTACTAACGATTTACACTGAGTGCCATAAAGCAGTTTCGAGCAACAAGCACCGGATTTCTGCCGCGACACTACACCCTAGAATTCCTACAGGAAAGAGACACAAACACAGTGTAAGGACAATTACAAAAACACAAATATGCAGACATTCACATTCGTACAGACAGATCATCAAGGCATAATTATTACTGTGTAAGTTTCGATTTCTTTTGCATCTGTTCTTAATCGATTCGCTACTCCGAATCTTTTCTCAATTTCTTCATTACTCTGCAAATCATTAAAATATAGGTTTTCGTATATATATGTAGTTTTTCTGTGTGAGATACAGTTCCTATGTTTTTGTGTGTGTGTGTGTGTAGAGGGGGTTTGTGTTAGTTATCTAACGACTTTGGCTTTTCGAATGTTGAATTAACCACTGCAGCGTTATGTCAATGTTGTCCTTTTCCTTACACGAAATACTGTAACAGCAGATTTCACGGTCCTGTATGCTCGATAGATTCCTAGAATGGAGTTTAGTACTTGAATTGAGGACCGTTCTAGATGATCTTGTTGCTCCCAGAACACTTACATTCGCTCAATGAGGCCAGTCTCGTCGAGCGCTCCTGGAAGATCACGTTTGTTGCCCAACACGAGCACTGGAATGCCGGCCAGCTGCGGCTTGTCCAACAGCGAGTGCAGCTCGTTCCTAGAGGCCTCCAGCTTATCCAGATCAGCCGCATCCACCATATAGCTGTCAATTACATAATATTGTTATTGTTAATTTGTGTCCATTGTTCAATTATTAGGTTGATTAGCTTACACAATCGCATTGACGCCGCGACAATACCGTTCCCACATGGAACGGAAACGGGGCTGGCCGCCAATATCCCAGACCTTGATGGTTACATTGCCTCGTGTAATTTTTCGCATGTTGAAGCCTACTGTGGGTATCATATCCTCAGCAAATTGGCCGGACTGCAATATAAAATATTAGTGATTAATAGGGAGACAATCTAAGAACAATATACATCGAAATATAATAGAAGCTCGGATCGATTGTAGGAAGCCTGAGCAAGAAAATATTCTATTTAAGCTTCGGGACATCGGATTTTACTCGAATGCCTTAAAGCGTGCTATAGTTTTCAATGAGAAACGGCTCTAGCTAATGGAACGGATCTTGAATGTTCATAAATGAGCATGATAAGTAGTGGAAAACTCCCAACAAATTCCAGACCTCAGTTTATTGCATGCGGGTACATTATATACATGACTCATAGTCAGCTGGCTCGAACGCTCCTCCTCCCTAGAGCAGACTCGACTCGCGTTTCAATGCGTTTCGAAGCTGATATTTGAATCTGGATCGCGACTTATCAGCTCGCAAACGAAGAGAGGGAGAGGGGGTTGTACAGTAGGTGGAGAGCCGGTACAATGGGCGGGGGTCAGCTGGTGTCGGGCCGATGATAATGCGTCATGGTTTCGAACATGCGTATAACGTTTATTGATTATGAGCGAACATAAAAAGTAGCGCTAAAATAAAACAGTTAGCACAGCGTTAATAATTAATGCAATGGTGAAAAAAGAAGAAACTGCCCGATAAGACGGCCAGCGAAGAAACAAAGGCAATCAATAACCAAATAGCGAGACCTCGGGCCAAGTTCATGGTGATTGCTCACTCGTCAGGGAGCGAGGGTCTGTGCTCTCCCTCTCTCTCTCTCTCTCTCTCTCTTTGCGATTCTTTTGACAGTCGCGGGGTTAATTTCGTTTGTATTATTTGATGGAATAGTCATAGTCCCCGGCTTTCTCTGCCCCTCCGGGCCTCCTCCTACGCCATAACGGCAGCAATCAAGCAACCCCCTCGCACACATTGGCAAAAACAGCACACCGTCACTGAAACACACACCCATATGCAAATACTCACTGCAATAACATTGACGAACGTTGTCTTCCCCGAGAACTGCAGCCCCACCAGCGTCAGTTCCATCTCCTCTTTCCAGAAGATGCTCTTGAACCAGTCGAGGATTCTGTTTATGAGTGCCAACATATTTGCACTGTTCTATTGGGCTTTTTTATTTTTTATTTTTTATTTTTATTCCAATTCTTGTAGCAAATGGCGTTGGCGTAGTGGTGTCAAAACATCGATGGCACTATCGACAGTATCGATTTTTTAAATCATTCCATTCCAAACTATCGATGGGCGCCACTATCGATGGTCTGACAGCTCTAGACTTCTTGATAAAATATACCGTCCGACCCTCAGAAATATACCAAAATATACCGTCCCATTGTAAAAATATACCGTAAATATACTGACTAAAACTATCGAATGTAACAGCGAAAATCTGCTGATTCGTTGTGAATGACAAAAACGGAAAAACAAGAAAGTAAACAAAATGGTAAGTTTGGCGATTTATTTAATGAAATTATTATAAAATGTGTATAAACCGTGTACTTTTAGGCGAGAAATGCAGAGAAAGCAATGTAAGTGTGATCAATAAAATGTGTTAAATCGATTTTCAACGCTTCGTGGCCCTACTCTGGCAGGACCACTTTGGCACGTTGGCGGGCCGCCAAAGAAGTCGAATCTGGCGAAAAGGAACGCCGCCCGTACCTGGCCTCGGAATGTGGCGACCTACCTAGATGCGAGAAGTTCCGCTTGGAGATAATACGTGAAATATCCAAGAAAGTGGCACAAATACAGAACGGTATTAAATTCGATTTCCTTCATACTAAATGGCTACTTATTCTTTTTTTTGTTTGCTTCTGCTTTCAGCCGGTCTTGGCGAATTCCGCATACGTGATCTGAACGATGAGATCAACAAGCTGCTGCGCGAGAAGCGTCACTGGGAGAACCAGATCTCCGCGCTCGGCGGTCCACACTACCGACGCTATGGACCGAAGATGTTTGATGCGGAGGGTCGCGAGGTGCCAGGCAACCGTGGCTACAAATACTTTGGTGCCGCCAAGGATTTGCCCGGTGTCCGCGAACTCTTCGAGCAAGACCCACCGCCGCCGCCCCGAAAATCCCGCGCCGAACTGATGAAGGACGTCGATGCCGAATACTATGGCTACCGCGATGACGAAGACGGAGTTCTCATTCCGCTAGAGGAGCGGATCGAACGCGTTGCCCTGCAGAAGGCAGTGCAGGAGTGGCGCGAGAAAATGGCTCGCGATGGACGCATAGTCGACGACGACGACGAGGAGGAGGATGAGATCTATCCACTTTCTGGACCTGCTCGCGAGGCTGCTGAGGACGCCAAGGCCAGGGCAGCAGTGGACGATCCACACGGACTCCTGGCGCCAAAATTCACCGCCCATGTGCCCGTGCCGACGCAGCAGGATGTGCAGGAGGCGCTCCTTCGCAAGCGCAAGCAGGAACTGCTCGAGAAATATGCCGGAGGTGCCAATTAAGTTTCAATAAAGTGACTCATTTCTTAACTTGAACGTATTTTTGGTTAAACTTTAATATCGAATGTAACAATGATACCTCTTGGTATAAGGAATATGGGCTTAAGTACATTCAAACATAATTTCAAAGCATTTTTCTTTTCCCTCTGCTGTAGTCGCTTAAATCTGTACACTTTTTTGCTTTGGGAGCAAATGAATTTGCTAAGTGATCCCACACTTATGATAGATTGAATTGTTGTCTGCTCTGAATTTGATAGTTGAATTGTCGATTTTGATAAAACCTCAAAGAGATTCGATTCATCTTGTCGGTCTTTGTCATCGTCTTGAAAAAGGGTTGGATGATGATGTACGTCTCCATCTCATCTTTCAGCAGCTCAGTGGCCTGCTTCACAGAGTGTTTTGTTCTTTTGTTTAAAACTAGAAATTTTGTGCTTCGCGAGCGTAATGGAGAATTTGTCAATTAACTCAAAAGTCAAAGCGATCGAAGCGACCACCACCGCCACCGCGGCCTCCACCGCCGCTGCGAAAACCTCCACCACCACCACCATAGCCTCCGCCTCCGCCGCCGCTGCGTCCTCCTCCGCCACCACCTTCAGCAGCGCGGCGCTCCTTCATGGCTTTGAAACGTCTGGCCATGCTGTGAAGCTGCTCAGGCACTACCTGGTCAGCCTCCTCCAAAATGTTGATCAGCTCTTGGGCCATCCCCCAATCCGACCGTGTGATAAAGCTAATAGAAGTCCCGGTACGTCCAGCGCGTCCCGTACGTCCCACACGGTGAACATACTCCTCGATGTTGCGAGGGAAATCATAGTTGATCACATGACTGCAAATATTGAAAGGGATTAAAAAGCTACAGCAAAACTCTAAATGCTTCCCTACCTGATGTCCTCGATATCCAGGCCACGAGAGGCCACATCTGTGGCTATCAAAATACGCACCACGCCTGACTTAATGTCGGCAATGGCCTGTTCGCGGTCGCTCTGATCGCGACTGCCATGTATACACTGGGTCATGAATCCGTCCAGGGTCAAGTCACTGGACAGATCATCGGCGCGAGCCTTGCGGCCGCAGAAAACGATTATCTTGTCGGTCTTTGTCATATTCTTGATAAAGCTTTTGATGATGCCGTACTTCTCGGACTCATCCTCCAACAGCTCAATGACCTGCTTCACAGAGTGTGTGGCTGCCAAATCGAGGGAACCAACGCACACCTGGATGGGATTGTTCATGTAGCTTTGGGCGAGACGGCGCACACCAGGCGGCCAGGTGGCCGACGTCATGATGGTCTGGCGATCGGGTCGAATGTCCATCAGGACCTTGCGAATCTGTGGCTCAAAGCCCATGTCCAGCATACGATCCGCTTCGTCCAAAACCAGATAGGTGATACTGCTTACGTCTATGACCTTGGCCTGAACCAAATCGTTGAGACGCCCGGGAGTACAGATGATTATCTCCGCTCCACGCTCCACATCCGAGATCTGCATCCGACGACATCCGCCTCCATAAACACAAACCCTGAAAGATTTCACGTCAAAACGGTCACAACATCTCACTCAAAAGTAGTCCAAACTTACGCTCTCATGTCGCGGAAAGAATATTTCTTTACCTCCATTTCAATCTGGAGCGCTAGCTCACGAGTGGGCGCCAGCACAAGGACATTGGCCCCGCCACGCTGTCCTCTAGGAATGCTTTGATACTCGGTGTGTATCATACCGGGCAGCAGAAATGCCAGCGTCTTTCCTGTGCCAGTCTGGGCAATGCCAATCATATCGTGCCCCTTTAGCAGAATGGGCCACGCCTGAGACTGAATGGGCGAGGGCTTAGGGAAGCCCTGCTTCTCGATTTCACCCAACAGATCGGGATATTCGGCAAAGCATTGCTCGAATGTCCATACCGGATTCGGTATGGGTGGGACTTCTTCGCCCTCCTTCGGCTCAAACACAAGAGCCACTGTCGTATTATTGTTCTCCGCATGAATGCGTTTCACATCGGCATCGCTTAAGTTCGCCACCTCAGGGGCCTCCTTGTAAAAGTTCTTTGTTAATTTGGGAAGCTTGGCCCAGCGGGCTGCTGCTGCTTCTTCCTGTAAATAATTGGTGCCTTTATATTTAGGTTAGAGATGAACTATGAGTCACTTACAGAGGCTTTGTTAAGGGCTGCCCAATCTATGGTGCCAGTTAAATCGCCACCTTGATTATTATTATTAGAGGCATCCTCATAGCTGGTACCTTCAGTGCGATACCGGCCATAGCCGGATTCACCTCCTCCTCCATAATTAGAACCACCTCCTCCTCCATAACTGGACCCACCTCCTCCTCCATAGTTTGATCCACCTCCTCCTCCTCCTCCATAGTTGGATGCAACTGCACCGCCGCGAACATGTCCTCTGTCCCTATCGCGATTTCCAGAATCGCTTGATATTTGATTTCGAATGTACTCAGCGGCATCGTTGACGTTCGTCTGGATATTGCCCAAGATCTTAACAGTTAAACTGGCTTTATCCACATTGACCCGCACATTGAAATCAGTTTGGATGCGAGTCACATTAGATCCGGCGCGGCCAATAATTCGACCAACCATGTCTGCGCCGATGTTGATCACTTCGGTGAGGGCGTACTCCGCGCTTTTTGCAAACCCTCCGCCACCATGACCGCGCTCCCGATCGCGGCGTCCCTGACCATAATCGTCCATGTTTCGATCTCCGTGGCCGCGCTGACCACGCGAGTTTTCGTCATGTCTCACGCTGCGGTCGTACTTATCGTTGAAATCATTTCTATCACGCTTATACATATTCGTTGCAGGAGCTTGATCTGCATCTGGTTCATCCCAGTCTAGCTCTGACATTTCGGAAGCGGTTCTTCGTTTTATTTTGAGGGAAATAGCAAAGCTAACACGTGAAAAATGCGGAGTTTGCAGAAATTCTTTGCCAATGCAGCGTTAAACGGTAAAATTGCATGTGTGTGCGAGGCAAAATGGCGGCGTTGGCAGTGACGAAAGTGAACAAATCCCTGCGGTCTGCTATCGAAGGCTGTGTTCCAGCTAATTTATAACTCAAAGCTGCTGAATAATTTTCATTTAGTTACCTCGGAATTCCTAATACGTATTTTACCGGCAACCACTAAAAAAACGGAACTCAAACAGCCCGCCCTTGCGAAACAGTGTGACAGCTGATTTATCGTTAAAATATACCGTCCGACCCTCAGAAACATGCCAAAATATACCGTAAATATATACTGTATGGTTAGTGATACTGACGAATTCAAGTTCTACTTTACATATTCTTCGTTTTTGATATTCCGTGGAATATTACTAGCTATATAGAAAATTTAGCCATGCCCACATAGTTTTATACGATTTATAAATACTTTTTTTACTTAGCTGGCTCACTCTAAATACTTGCTTTTATTGGATTTTGTCTAAAGAAAGGTTTTAGCGAAATGGGTCAAACAAAAAAATCAAAATGGATAGTCGTTCATATTGCTCAATTTAGAGATAGAAATTAGAAAGATAAAAATTAGACACATTTTCAGTGAAGTAGCAACCTTTTTTTATGGAATGATGCTCATTGTTGTCAACCGGGTAAAAGAGGTCCTCACCCGATTCAAATAAATACCGAAATATACGGTCTCATTTTCAAAATATAGCGTAAATATTCGACTTCCGATAATATCAACTGGATGCGAGTGTTGCGCGCCAAAGAGAAATTGGTTGAAATTGATAAATAAACACTATTTGTCTCTTGTTTCACGTCACAACTATGGTTTAAAATACCATTTTTGCAGGCATGGCTCATGCTACTTTCGTCTTCCTCCTCCAATGTAGTCTCCGTGTTGTCCAACCTCGTCTGGTTCATCAGATCTCCATTATCATAGCATGTGCAAAGCCAGCGTGACATTTGGCGGTTCGGTTTGAAGAAAATAAGCGGCAGGGTTTGGTTATGTTTATAATTTCCGTTTACTTAACACACGGCTAACACACTTTTCGGGTGTAGCTTAGCCTACAAGACTTACGACCTAATACAAATCAATCAAACTGTATTCATCTCACGCTCTTGGTTTACATAAATAACTAAAACTAGAAAACACAAACACAAACTTTCCTCACTTCCAGAATTCATTAAATATATGTGGGGTGTATGTGTGTGTGTGTGTGTTGTGGCTATAGCTGTTTGATAAAACTTATAACAGTTTTGATAAGATTTTTCTCGCTTGTGGATATGGCCAAGTGGGTTGGTTTTTGGTTGTTTGGGAAGTGTACGCTTTGGGGTCTGTGTGGCAAGGTAGCAGAAATATAGTTTTCAATTCTCATTGTTCTACGTGAAGTTTTAATATAGTTTATATTGTAAGTGTGTGTGTGTGTGTAGATATAGTTAAGATTCGCTTAGTGTCTAGGTGGAGCTTTTTATTATATAAATTAAACTAATTAACATATACGAGGTTTTCATTTTTCTCTTGAACAACTGATGATAGTTTCTGCACAAGAGCAGATCCCCTGTCCATCAATTCCAGTTGGTTCTTTTGGATTACATAGTTTGTTTCTTGTTGGTTGGGGTGTTTTGAAATACATTTACAAAAGCTCTTAGCAGTATCAATCGACGTCAGATCCGGTCTTCGATCTGACGATCCAATTGGTATTCCGTCTGGCCCAGGAGCAGACATCCCTTAGGTACGGTGTATGTACAATTCAAATTCAAAAATTTACACGTTCCAGTCTCCAGGCGCCGTGACGCAGTTCTCTTGTCCGATCCACGTCCATGGATGTTGGTATATAGGAATACCCAATTTGCATCACCCAAATGTATACACATAAATTTCAGTTTTTTCACAGCTGCTTGGTGGCGGCACGGCTCCGGTTCTCAGTCCCGTGACGCGGCCAAAGCCACATTATTGTTGTTGCTGCTTTTGTTCTTGGGAGCATCCTGCATGACCAGTTGCTGCTGTGGCAGTGTCTTACAGCTGGGCGTGGCTGGGGCAAAGTTAACGGATAGGCAGGATATGGATTTTGGTAAAAGCGACAGCGGGGGCGCGTAGCTGGACTCAAGATTGAGCCGGAGCTTTGCGGGGGAGTTGCGCTTGAAGAGGGCCAGCTGCCGCGTCGGCGATGCGGCAGATGACGATGATGCGGAGCAGGCGGATGCTGTGGATAGCAGGGAGCAGATACCGCTGCTGCTGGAGGAGCAGGGAGAATCCAGTTCGGAGACTGCGGCCGCGGCCGAGGTGCTAGGCGCCTCATCGTCCGGCGTAATGGGCGGTGAGGTGAGTCGCGATGAGCAGTTGCTGCCCGCGAAGCTACCGGCGCCGCTGTCCACGTCGTCATAGTCGTACACATCCTCGTCCATGGCCTCGCTGTCGGACTTGGACTTGCGCTGCTGATGCAGCTCCTCTTCCTCCTCCCGCTCTCGCTCGGGCTGCTCTACCAGTTGACTAGAATGGGATACCGGAGATCCCGCCGGTGATCCGGCTGATGTGGGGGCGCTGTGCGGCGAGGCTGGTGCCAGCACGCCGCTCTTGCGCAGGCTCTGCTCCAGCTCAAGCAGCTGGCCCATGAAGTTGAGGTTGGGCGAGATGATGGGTCGCGCCACTTTCACCAGCTTGTAGGCCTCCAACAGCGAGAGCGCCTTATGCCGCATGACGTAGGCAATGGCGATGGTGGCACTGCGCGAGATGCCCGCATGGCAGTGCAGCAGGACGCGGGAACCCGTTTTGCGTGCCTCTTCTGCAATGGAACAAAGAGAAAGATGGGGGATCGGTTAGTAATTGATAAAGTGCTGATGATTTGCATAAAACAATCTGGAATCGATGGAAATGATTGCTCTTGCCCTCCTCCCCCTTCCAACCCCTTCCCTATTCTATCGCACTCACACACACACAGCGAGAGGGAATGGGAGAGCGAGACGGTCAGAGAGAAACTTTTTGTGCCCGTTGTGTTGTTGGCTGTCAAAGCTTTGATGATGTTGCTGGCAGTTTCTCGTGCTCTCGCTCTCGCTGTTGATATTGGTGCTGGCTGTCGATAATGCCTGCACTTGTAGTGGTGTGCACACACCAATACTGATTGCTTGGGCTCGCTCGCTCCCTCTCCCACTCTCTAGCTGCTGCTGCTGTGTGAATTTTGTTGGATGAGTCATCGCAACGCGAACAGCGTTTTCTGGCTGCTGCCGACGCTTATTGACAGAACATTTTTATACCCCGCACACACGCGCAAACACACACACACAACACATGCACGTGGGCACATTAACTCATAATTTACGCTGTTATTTTGGGGAAAGATAAGCAGAAGCAGAGGAAGAGGAAGAGGCAGCGCGAGCGGCAGAGGAAGAAGAAAAAGAAGAATCCATGGAGCAGCATACGGCGTACGTTTTTTTTCGAAGGCTCATCACAAACGGTAAAGTGAAGCCACCACCCGAAAAAAAATAATCGCAATCTAATCAGAAAGCTCACGCACGCTCACAATTGTAAAGTTTTGTGTAGTATAGTATTATTTGGAGTGGGGTGGAGTGAGGTATGTGGTGTGGTGTCGTGGGGAGCATTTCCTAATCGATGGTTACTCATAATGCAAACAGGCGTCCCAGCACTTGTCTGATTTCCAAACATTTACAGCCGATAACGGGGCAAAGCAGAGCCTGCCTTCCTGCTGCAGCAGTCAGTCAATTAGTCACCAGGCAGGCAGGCGCCTGTCTCCTGCACACCCTCCCTCCCCATTCCTTTGGTAATGAAGGTGATATCAGCGATAAAGCTGGCAACAATTGTTACAGAATTGCAATATCGTCAACCTTACCCCCGTCCCTACCAGCCTCCTTGTAGGGGAGGTTGTTTTCCAACTGAAGTGGGTGGGAGATATCAATGTATTTGATTTATCAATGAATGGGTTCAAAGTAGACAGCGATAAGGCAACGGGGCAGCGGCAACCCCTACCACACTCTTTCGATTTCACAAATTTCGAGTACTCCTCCCATTCGCCATTTCTAGCCGGAGTCGAGTGAAATCAAATCGAGTTACCTCGTATCAGAGGCGACAATGATATGGCAATTATAAAGTAACAGAATGGGAAAATCCATAATAAATAAATAATGCCGATAAGCAATCCCAGGTGCTAGAGTACCCGAAATTTACGTCAGATTCTCCGAAACGGGTGATTGGCTAAGAGCCCGGCCTCATGGGGAGGGGCCTTCCCTTCCCATAGTGGGGGCCTTCGCATGGAGTAGACTAGCCAAAAATAACCACTCCGATCTGAGAGTGAGCTAGAGGCATAGAGATGGAGAGATGGTCATTAAGCGTACAATGGCAGACAATTGGTCACCGTCCGACGTCCGCCGTCCGCCGTCCGTCGGTCCCCGTCATCGGCCGAGTCGCACGGCGCTCATAAATCCTCTTAGTTAATGACCCCGTCGCGCAGACAGTTAAAATCGCGCATAAAGCGCGCCGTAAACGCGCCGCCCGGCCGCACACACAACAGCCACACATGACTCATGTGGCTAGAAAAAGTCCAAGCAGTAGACAAGAGGAGGGTTGAAGGAGAAAAGAGTTCGTCTACAAGTTTTGCAACAAGAAAAAAGAGAGAGTATAGAGTAGAAGAGTATATGTTTTACTCTGTGCTCTCTTTTGAGCTGATTTTAGTTGATCGAGAACAAGGAGGAATGGTGAAGGTAGAGGCAAAACAGAAGCTTTGAGTAGAAGTAGCACTCGAATATCTGTAGTTCGACTCTCTCCCATTCTTTGGGAGAACTTTAAGGTTGCTAGAGGAAGAGCAGACAAAGAAGTTTAGCACTACGGCCTGGACTAATTTATTAATTGCTCTAATCATGGCTCTAACTGATTGATCTCTTGTCGTGCAAAGGTGTTCTTTCCCACTCAAAAGAAACCAGCTTGTCATGCTCTCTCTCTCACTCTTAGTCACCTCTTGAGCGCTTCCAGTTAATTGATTGATCTCTCAGAGAGTGTCCGAGAGTGTTCTTCCCAAGCTCCGTCTATGTCGATTGTTTATTGTTGATTTCTCGACAGCTTCAACGGAATCGAATCCCCGCGTTTACTCATTGGGGAATTAAGGAAAATTATGGACTGTTTGTTTGTTGGTTTTTGCTTTGCATATTTCTAGGGTCTTTGTTTGTTTACAGCCAAAGCGGAACTCGAAAGCTGTGCAAAAGCATTCCATGCTGGCTGGGGCCCATGGGATTATCGGGAAACCGGGCTTAGGCAATGGTTGACTGTCATATGTTTATGGGGTCTGACTGTGCCCGTAGTGGATGGGGATTACTAATCAATAGTTACCAGGAAAGCGGGGGGCGGGCGACACTTATGAGTAAGCCCCCTGTACACCGGGCGCCGCATAGTCCGGCGATGAGTGATCCCCAGTCGTGTCTCCATATTGTACCTCTCTGACATGCCTATAATGGGGCAATGGACATTCATAGGGCTGCTGCCGTTGCTGCTGTCTGACGATGCGTCGTCGTGACTCCATTTCGGGGCACGCTGATGCTGATTGCCGCCGATGCGTAATGCCAACATTGGGTAGTCCCCACACCCCACTGCCTGCCTCGAAACCTATAGCGCCCGCTGATGATTAAGTGCAGCAGCAGTTCTAGAATACCCTTTGCAAAGGGTAATATGATTTCGTTGGATAGAAAGGCCTACTATGTATCGTATAACTTTACAACCAATCAGCAAGGGTATCAACAGTTTCGGTCCTCTTTTTTGCTGCTTTTTTGTGGGACAATTGGCGGAGGTGCGTCATGGCTGATGGCTCAGAAGTGGGCCAAGTGGCAGACAACTGTCTGACAGCCGGGATGCCTTACACACATCTCTCTCTCTCTCTCTCTCTCTCTGTCTTTCTCTGCATGTCCCGACATACAACGGAGATGATGATGATGATGACTACGTCTCGGTCTTGTTCTCATTCTTCCAATCCCAATGTATCATTTCACTTTTGTTCGATGATTAAGCCCAGGGGTCACTCGCAGTGAGCAGTTCCTCCTCCTGCGCAACTCCTCTCTGAGTCATGGCCAGAAACGGCAACAGAATCAGAACTGAAAACAGAAACTCAAACTGAAACATGGAACATGATATGTGAGTGTGAGTAAGTGAGTGTTTGTCCAGCAACAAGTAGTTTTTGTTTATGTTGAAATATTTAATTACTTTCGGAGACTGTTTATCATTAAGAATGCCCGCTTACTCATGCCCAAGTCTGAGTTCCAGTCTCCGGTTCGGAGAACACGTCTCCGAGTGGATTCTGAGAGCGGCAGGTGCCAGGATAACCAAATGTCGATAAGGCAGCCTCATGAATCATCATCGTACACACGTACAAACAAACAGAAGACAGGGATGGACATACATATATGTATGTACACTTGACCTTCAACTTGGCGAAGCTCGACTTTGACGTGTCGCCTCGCGGCGTCGAGTCATACGGAAACAACAAAAGCTCGGCTCAGATCAGCCTGGCCTGCACTTTGAAGTCGCCTTCAACTCACTCCGAATAGTGAGTGGAGTGGGGTGGACTGGAGGGGCATCTCTTGGGGTCTCGCACGTCTCGTGATTCATAAAGAGCCTGCGCAACAACAACAACAAAATAAATGTTTCATAAACAAATTGCGCGCAAAAATAAACTGCGCGGGCGCAAATGTCTCAGCCAAAAGAAAGGGGGAGGCACTGCGGAAGCGTGGGCGTGGGCAGGGCCCTCTGCTGGGGCCTGTGCGTACCCTGTAAAATGATTAAGTGTTTTATAATTTGTGCGCATTTCTTCTCTCCTCTGTCCTCTTGCTCTCTCTCTCTCTCGCCCCTCCCTAGCCATCCATCCGTGCGCCCGGCACAACACCGAAACGCAAATTTCGAATTCCTGTGCGAAGATTTTGTCGGTTTATTTTGCTCGTTTCTGCACTTTATAAATAGCCGGCTGACGAATATTGAAATTATGTGTGCTCGGGGGCCAACAAAAATGTCACCTCGAGGCCGGGGCCCGCACTGTTTCGCTTTTTGTTGTTGTAGTTGCCAACGGATTTTCGATTACTCATGTATCTTGCAGGATGGTTCGAGTGCGAGCGAGTCGGGAATACTGCTACAGTGGTCGCACGGATATAAGATCATCCACAAAACCATGCGACCACCACTAATTTTAGTGTTTGGAATCGTTTTTAAATCAAATTAAATGGATATACATAATTTGGAAACTAAAATTAATAAGGAAGATCTAATTATTCAAATTATTCTATTGAAGGCCCACTGTGCACCCAAAGTTTTATCTAATCAACTGTCCGTCTGCTGTTATACTCCAACATACTCATACATACATACATACACATCTATGTATGTATGTATGTACATATGTACATATGCACGTACATATGCTATCAACGAATGAGTCGCAGAGGGGGCTCCATTCCAAGTTTACTTAGCTGGGCCAGTGTCTACGTATAGATTAAGTTAGTTTGCCAAAGAGGCCTCTGTTGGCTGATAAGTTGATAGCCCGATAACTCGGGCGCACAAATAATAGGTACAGTCACAGTCCATACAGACAAGGTGGCGATAGGGGCCCTTCTATTGTAGATAAGAATTTTCTCGCCTGCAAGGATGTAGAATGATCGAGAAAATATGTACTAAGGAGCTGGGAAAACAAAGCTTTGCGATAATCTTCAACAACGCAAAGTAAAGTCCTTGTAGAACAGATCTCAGTTTATACATATCCTTATCGGGAAAAGCCATTGTACAATTGTGCGTATAACAAACAGTACTGTAACCGTTCAATTTCCTGACAATTGAAGCTTTGATTACTTTCTAGGCCAAGTGGCCGCCTCTTTATCATGCATGTTAATGACACAGCATAATGACATTAGCATTAGCATTGCCCGATCGAGCCGACAAGACGACCCGACCAACGACAATACACACAGTCGTCGCGTCGGCCCTCGAACTCTGCCGTCGCCTAATGAGCCTCGGGTTTGGCTTTGGCTTTGGCTCTGCCCGCGTCGCTGCCAGCGTTGAGCTCATTTCAAGCTTTGCTTCACATAGCGGGCCTTCCTCTGGCCACCGTCTCCTCTCCCCGACCAACACAAACTACTTCTATACTACCATTCCCCGTCCACATAAAAGTGTGCAGCACACCAAGTGCTGTTATAATGAATGGAGGAGACGGACAATGAGAAATCATAAGTTGTACGAACAATCATAAACAGAAAGAAACGAAATAAAATATAATAATAATAATAAGCATAAGGTGACGACGGCAGGCCAAAAAAACGAATGCGCAAAAGGCACCAAGCAGCAAACACGGCGCAGCAGCAGCGGCAGCGACGGTAACGGCGGCAGAGCCGAAATCATGACTCATGCACTCAGTACAGTATATATTCTCCTCTTCTTCCTCCTCTACCTCCTCCTCCTTCTCCACCACTGATGTTACTTCGTGCCTGAGTACTAATGTGTGTTTGGTTGGGCAGTATGAGTGAGTGTGAGAAAGAGGGAGAGGGGGCATTTATAAAAATAATACTTGAGCATGTTTAACAGGGTGAGGTGAGGAGTTGAGGTGGTGTATGTGGCTAGTGGGTGGTGGGTGGATTGTGGAGATGGGGAGGATGCTAACAGCAACAACACAGAGATATGCATTATGACTGATACAGACAGCAACAACAAACAATAGGATGAGAGCAGGAGCTACACCAAAATAAGACAACAAAAGAAATGAAGAGACCGAAGTAGCCAGCAGCAGCTGTTGCTGCTCACGCACCGCACCTGACATCCGCACCAGTAACGAGAGCAACAACATTCGAGGCCACGCACAAGGATAACCCAAAAGCGAAACGATGACGACGATGACTCATAAACAGGAACAGAAATGTTTATAAAAATAGAACATATGCCAAAGAGCAGAGGCCCGAGGAAAGCAGAACAACGGCGGGCAGCTGGCTGGCGGGGGTGAAGTGCCGTTTTGGCGGCGCAATAAATAGCAACAATAAGACGAAAAAAAATCGATGCGGATGGTTGAATACTCGTACAACACAAGGAGCGTGTGCCTCGAGACACTCTCTTCCTCTCTCTCTCTCTTACTTTTTGTATGTGTGTGTGTGTATGTGTGTTTGTGTGGCGGCTGTTCCACATTGCATTGTGAACGAGCGACGATGAGTCATGCGATGTCGGCACAGTGGTGGCCAAAAATACGTTTACAGTTCGACCCCGAAAGCCCAAGGCAGGAGGTATCGGAAAGGACAACCCTTATCAGAAAGGACGTTTGTGGTTAGATATCCTGCTTGTTGTTGTTAGTGCAGCTGCTGTTGTTTGTAATCACCATAAAATTTCCATTATCCGAGAAAATCTCTGGTCTCACATTATGCAAAGGCAAAGTAAAAGCAAAGCAATGCCGCCGCCATGCTGTCTGCCAACGCCAACACGCAATAGCAACAACAATGCGACGATGCCAACGACGAAGGAGAGCGAAGGAAAAGGAGCATGGTCGTCTCGTCGCTGTTCTGCTTCTCGTCCACACCGACGTAATTAGGCAAGCACACACGCATTCAGATTTGTATGTGTGTGAGTGTAGGGGAGATTGGAACAGTGATTCGAAAGGGTTTCAGTATTATATTGCAATGAAAACTAAATAGAATATTCTTCTATTCAGAAACAGCAATTCCCTCCGATAAAGAGTGGAGGTCGGTCGCTATCAATCAGTCGTAGTCGCACTGGCCGACGCCGCCCACATCTTGTTTTAAATGAAATATTTGCACTGCTTAAATCAGAGACACAATATAACATCTATAAGAACTACAAAGCTCGTGCTCGCACGTGCCGAGAAATTAGCTGGTCAAACAAAAAGAACAAAAAATACAATATAAAAATACGTTGATGAACAACTTTAGCCAGAGAAAATGGAAATGGAAAAATGCGATTGACGTCAGCAGTATATTCCATGGCTAAAGCGCTCTGTCTCTGCCCCTGTTCGTCTTCCTCTCTCTCTGTATATATCTGTTTCTTTTCTTTTCATTTCCATCTCTTTCTAGAGACATTGTGTGTATTATTATTATTTTCATTTAAAATTAACAAAAGTATATGTATGCATGTACGGATGGAAATTTGCTGAAGGCAGCACAAAACACAAAGAAAACAACACACACACAGAAAAAAGTCAATAACGAATTTTCCACAGGCCAAAAAGAAAGGCAAGTGGAAGCCAGACTAAGCCGTTATGCAAAAAAAACTACAAATAAGCCCGCCCCAACCACAACCTCTGCGAGACAGGCCCCCCCGCCTCTCTCCACCCATCGAAATGAGCCAGGCAGGCGGCCCGCAAGGCATCCAATAACAAGTCACGTTTGGCAATCGCAAATCGCCAGAGATGATGACTAAGCTAAGTAACTAGGGATTCTTAGACATTTTGGGGCAGGGATTTTTCATGGAATCGCTTGTTTAAGATAGAATACTCTTGAAAAATATTTGCCTAATCTCGAGCTAATGTTTGAGCAATATCTCTAATCTGAGTTGAGAATTTTTCCAGAATCTGAAATGATTTGCAACAAAAAACTCACCAATGAAATCGTAGGCCTCCTGGAAGTATTGCTTGATATTCTGATGGGGCGTATCGCTGGCAGGTATTTGCATATACTTGAGGCCCTGCAGATGACTCTCGCTGGGACTTTGGCAGGTAACGTTCAGCACACAGTTGGCGCCCACGCTGCTCGGATCAACGGCGTCGCGGCCATTGCCCAGCAATAGATGTGGGAAGACTGGCGAGGCGGGATGTGTTTCAATGTCTGAAAGAGAGATAGATAGATAGATTGAGAGAGGAACAGAGACAGAGACGGGATCATTAGTTTTTATGAGTACATAATGGAAAAGTTCTTCAATTCGAAATTCTCGATTGTCGGTTGGGGGGGGCCATACAAACTTTTCATTGTTTGGTTGGGGCTAATTGTCTGTGGGGTTCTCTGGTTCGGGATGCGATAGGATAGGAATGGAAGCTCTATGCTTGCTTTATGGAAGTTTGCCAATTTGCGATGTCATGCAACAAAAGAGCCACACACAAATGATCATCAGTGATCATTGAGCTGTACATGATAATGACGATGATGATAGTCTGCCCCGGCATGGCCTGGCCCTGTTTTGTTGTGTATATCTATTGTTGTATACAACGTCTAAATTTTCTACAACAAATTGTTTATTTTCCTTCTCTTTCGGCCGTCTGTTTCGATTTGTTTTGTTTCGTTTCGTCTGCTGTTGATGTTGCATGAGTCACCGTGCCACACAGGCACCGTCCCAGTCCAAGTCCCCACCCCCACCCCCGTCCCATTTCCCATACCCCATTCCCCATTCCCAGGCACAGTTCAGTTCGGTTCAGTTTTATTGGCAGCTCTTTGGCTGTGGGCGAAGCACAAGGAGGGAGTTGAGAAGGAGGGTGGGTTGCCGTTTTCCGTTGCGGCAGTCGTCGTCGTCGGCGAGTTCGTAGCACTTTCAATGAGGCGCACAATTGTTTTTATACCCTAGCTGAAGGCATTACAGCTTTTCCCAGGAGATTGCCATGCTGAGAAGGAATCATTTGCGTTCTCAGAAAACTAGTTCTTCCAGTTTTATAGAACGAAGCTCAAGCTTTAGATAGACCGATCAGGAAGTAGTAGTATATATTACAACAGGCACAAGGATGGATCACTAAAACACAGCATGTTGTTAAGAAAAAGTTTATTTTATTAAGGCAATCTCTTCTTCTCCAAAGAGTATTTCAACCTTCGGTCTTGTGTTGGGTTGGTATCGTATCTATAATTGTGCACCGTCTAACTAATGTATCTCTAGGGCCTAGAGCCAGACCCAGGCCAGCGTACGCCCTGCGGTTTTGCCTATTATGTACTCTGCACCCTGCGGTACCTCCTCCCGAACACCGCCAAGCTAATTCATCGATTATTTGTCATACGCTCGCGTGTTAATTGATAGCCGCACCGAGGAGTCATGGCAACCCATGGCCGTTTTTTTTTTCGGGTGCCTGCACTTTGTGGGTCACACGGAAATCACATGCATTAGTCATCGCCTCGAGAACTCACGGGGCAGGGCGGGGGAAAACTTTTGCACGTAAAGATGATTGTCATGGCATTTACGCCAGAGCCACCGCAGCGCCGCACTGATAGTCGTAGTAAAGCCATTGCGTACACAGTCCAAATGCAATTAACAGATTTCATAAATATTTTCCCAGTGACTCAATTGTGGGGATCGCGTAAACAGAAATTGCAAATGCATGGCAACAGAATCGCGAAAAGTCAAGTGGATGGTCAGCAGCAGGGTGCGATGAAGCGAGATGGTGCTAGCTATACTTATTACAGTTGTGCGTAAGCACTGAAAGCGCTCATTCGCTCTCTCTCTCTCTTTCTTTCACTGAGCGAGGAACAAGGAAAGAACAGTGCGATGTGATCACACGCCTGTCAGGTGAGAGAGAAGGAGAGACACTCCCCCACCCATCACCCCTGGTCGGACACACAGAGCCAGACTCGGAGCAGGGTAAATGAGTAATGTCCGAGAGTTTGACATTGAAATTTGCACTGCTGTTGTTGTGAATATTGTTTTGCATGTGTTTTACTGCTTGCATACTTCTCATATACTACATATGTACATATGTATGTACGGCCGATTTCATAACGTGCAAAAATAAAAGGTAACGCGAATAACAGATGCCAAGGCAGAGCAGAGTGAGAGCGAGCACGCGTTTTGTCATGTTTATCTCACAGCACGTGCCAAAACAAAAACAAAATTGTTTCGTTTTTTTTTAAGTTAAGCAACGCTTAGCTAGAGCCACAGAGAGGGGACGTAGGGTGGTAAGGGGGGATGGCGGAAAGATTGTATGACAGTTTCAGACAATTTATCGCCATGTTGATAGATAGTGGCTGGAGGGGCGGGAGCGGGGGAATGGGTGATAGTGATAGGGAGAGATCGAGTCTAAGCTTCGACAGAGTAGGAAATGAAAAGCAATGAAAAGCACAAATACGCTGTTGCATTGCATGCAAATGTGCAAGTAAAGAACAACCGAGAGAGATTGCTCAATCAGTTCCGCTCTTGATAGAAAAGTGAGCCACAGCCGATTCACTGGGGGGTACGTTCACTTCGGAGACAGTTTCCGCTACTCACCATAGACCGCTGGGCTGGAGCAGCTGCGCATCAGTGGCGGCGTCCGTCCGCCGCCATTCATTGCCGTGGACGATGACGTCGTCGATGTCACTTGCTGCTGCTGCTGCTCGTCACATGCCAGATTCTCCCTGGACCGCTTGTTGGGATAGTCCTTCTGATTAGCTGCAGGGGAGAGAAAATATTGCAGATTTACAAAATTTGTATAGCCGTTTGTTTCAGTAATTTGCTTAATTTTATACCAAATGATGTCAGCATTTGGGATAGCGCGAAAAACTTGTCGCGCCAAGTCCCAGTCGGAGTCGAATAAACCGCAGAGTATTTCGACTGCTTGCTCACTGCTTGCCAGCACTGACGTAAGACACTTATTTCGGCAGCGGAGTGTGCTTGCTTGATTAGCGACGAAATGCAGAGACCCCAACTTTTCCAATTTCGCTTATCGGCGTCAATGGACAGAAACAGAAACGGAATTTGAGAACGTATTGCGTATCTTCCGCTCTATTCGAGAGAGAACTGACCTTATCAGCTGTGGTGTGCTGTTGGAGCATAGACATTTTGTCTTTTTATGCTGGCTGTTCCTACAACTACTACTATTGGAGGCACAAAATTGCTGTTATCAGCCCAAGCGACCTCAAAAGCCAAAATAACTGAAAACAAAAAAAAACAATATTTTCACTGCGGGCAGCAGGAAATGTTGTGTTGGCTGGCACTGTAGTTGTAGTTGTTGTTTGCGGCTAGTAAAACAAGTAAAATTGCATGCCAATGCACTACACACACACGCACACGCGCAACCACTAAAACACGCGCCCAGAGGCGCCTGGTATTCAAAAGAGGGGCTTTGACTTAACAGTGACAGCATACTACCGAATACAATACATACATTTACCGAATTGAGCTACATACCCAAAAGAGGTTTTAGAACACCCTTTAACAACCTTTTTTCCCTGCCGCCACTGCACACACATATGCAACTCTCCCTCTATCCCTATCTCAGTCTGACTACCTCTCGCGCATGTCTCCACCAACTTCGTTTCGAAGTTGTTGCTGAGGCTGTTGCTGTTTCTCATTCTCCTGCTTCATTTTCCTCTTCTTCGCCTGCTGCTGCTGCTGCTGGTGTTGTTACTGTTGTTGCTGTTGTTGTGCCGCTGAATTCGTACTCGAAAGGTCGTTTCAAAGCGGGTTTTCTGTCGCCGCGGCCAGAGCGTTGCCAGGCCGCCGCAGAAACCTGCTTTGCTTTACATTTTTTTGTATTTGTATTTCTTTTTTTAACCAGCCCAGCCAGCCCAGAGCCAGAGTTAAAAGCCAGCGAGCGAAACGCTTCTTTTGCTTTTATTTTTGAGAGACACGCGAATTGTGAGTCACGTATGAAGTAGAAACCGACTCTCGACAGAGTCGTTTTTTTCCTTTCTGAAATGGAGAAGGCAGCACTGACGCTTGCGTGGGTCCCCTCCTCGCCTACTCCCCATCTACACCCTGTCCATCGACACAGTCAAGCGCAAAGTAAACAGCGGTAAAATGCTTAAGAGATTAGTCTCTCTGTCTCCCTCTCTCTCTCTTCCTATCCTTTTGAGATTGGTTCAAGTGTAATCTTAATATAAATGATATTGTACTTGTACTCGTTTTTTACTTACCACCAATGCGATTGTTGTTGTTCGTGTTTTGGATTGGCATAAATAACAGAAGACACGGCGCTTCTCGCTTTATCCGCATTTTCATTTCACTTTTATGACTCACGCTGTTGCTGTCTCCGTCGCACTCACAGCAGTTGCGTGTTGTTGACGTTGCCGTAGTGTTGTTGCTGCTGCTGGCGCTCTTGTTGTTGTTGGTGCTTTTCGTTGCTCGATTCACACACATGCAGGCACACACACAAACACACACGCAAAACTGTTTTAAATTTGATATTTATTCCAGCTCTTTGGTACTTTGCATGTATATAATCTGTTATTATTGGTGGGGTGCGTATTGGTTTATTAGATAATCCCAGGCGGAGGCGACACTTGTTGAGTGGCTGCCACTTCCCGTTAGTTATGCTGTGTTGCAACTCGAGTTGTATTTCCACTTGTAGCGCGCTTGTCTCAGGCCTTTTCACGCGCGCACATTTGTCTCATTAACCAAAGTTGTTGTTGTTGCTGGGGCTTTGATTGGACTATTACGCGCGGGATTCTGCTTTTTGTTGTTGATTGCTCGATGATGGGATGCTCTTTCTCTAGTTAAAGAACCAGGCAATCCCAAATCTATCAACTTCTATCTGAATATTTCTCTCCCCTGACGAACGAAACACGTTCGTTCACGTTAAACTCGATTTTGAACGGTAGAATTATGGGTCTCGACCAACGCGTGCTCGACGAAAATTCAAACGTGAATGAGGAGCATGTTTGGGGCGGCAAGGCCGTTTAACGCAGTGTGACAGCAAATTTATAGTTAAAATATACCGTCTGACCGGCAGAAATATACCAAAATATACCGTCTCATTTTAAAGATATACCGTAAATATACTGACTAATTAAATATCTATTTTACATATTCTTCGTTTTTGATATTCCGTTGAATATTACTAGCTAGATAGAACATTTAGCCATGTCCACATAATTTTATGCAATTAATGAACATATTTTCTAATGGACTGGCTTACTTTAAACACTTGCTATTATTTCATTTAGCGTAAAAAGAGGTTTTAGCGAAATAGGTAAAAAAAATGGTTTTATCGAATTAGGTCACACAAAAAAACCGAAATAGGATAGTCATATTGCTCAATTGTTATTGAAAATTGTGGAAAATTTCTTGCTAACTAAAAGCTCTGTCCACATAATTTTAGGCCGTTGATGAATAAATTTTCTTCAAGATTGGCTAGTTTTTAGTCCTTGTTTTTATTTTATTTAGGCTAAAAGAAGGTCAACAAAGAAAGTTCAACAAAATAGTTCAACAACAACAACAGTCGTAATGTTGCTGATATTTGAGGACATGATGCATGTATAGGCCTTTTTATATCCTATTTCGGTAATTCAAAATGAAGATCCTTTTTTCCAAACTGTTTTTAAAACGTAATTAATAAAGAAAATTTCCGAAATTAATATTTTTTAGACATATTCATGTACTGCAGTACTTCTTGTTTCTGCAGCAACATGTTTTGCTGATTATTTTTGACAATTTCATTGGCCGAAAGCAAAAATCGCATTGTTCCGGTTCGTAGTTTGGCGGTATATTTAAAAAACTAAGTTTATATGGATATATTATATGTGGTGTATGTCAAATACATATTTAAAGTAACTTATCAGTACCAATTTGAATAGTAGTTAAAGTGACAAACATGCTGAATAGCATGATGGCAGGAAACGGCCGCGACAGAATGTCTTCTGTCGTGTTAATATTCCCCTTAGTCGATATCCAAATACAGTAATTTAAGTGCTAAAAGTATGGAATGAGACTCCGATTCCGTTTTTTTCCGATTTGATCCATTAAATTCTAACTAGACACTTTTTAAATTCTCACTCCACTTTTTTTTCCGCGAGCGACGCCAAAACATAACGGATCTTTTGCCTAGGGCTGCAGAGTCGTTGGCAGAATCGATTCAATAGTATCGAAAGAGTGTTTTTATGAAATATATATATATATATTATATTAATAATAATCAATTAATTGATTAATATAATTTATAATACTATAGTACGTTCTTATGGAGTACGTTGTTATAGTAGATAGTACGTTCTCGTCTGTTTTTAAAACAGTCGATAGGTGCGTGTCGTGTCGTGACTTGACTAGGGCTGCAAAACCAAAATAAATTTCAACTTTCAACTGTACCGCACGCGAAAATTTCAAAACAATTTCGATCCGATCAAGTGCAAGTGAAGATGGATAGCCTCCAGAAGCAGCATACGGCCACGGTGAAGCGCAATATTAAACAGCAGCCGCTGGCCAAGTGGCCGCTGCCAATTGCCATTTGGTACCCCCCGACAAGCTCAACATCATCAGCAACAAGTGTGTATTTAAATGCAGTTCTTTGCAAGGAGCAAGGATATTTATCTTGGTTTCTTTTCCTTCTTTTAGCATTCGGGGACAATGGCTCACTCTCGGGCACTGCTACCACAAGCAGCAACGACCGCTGGGTATACCAGATGCAGTGTCTAGGCCTCCTGCTACCAACAACCAGTTGGCGCAGGCTCCTGTGCCGGCAAAGCGTGGGAGGAGGAAGCTAACATCTAACGTTGCTGTTGCTGCTGCTCAACCCCCCCACCGCCACTTCTGCCCAATATATTATCTTTTCAAAACATTCCAAAAAGTTTCATTTGTGGATGACCAGTTAAGAAAATGTATAAACTATTTAAAGCGGCCGGAAATGTTGGAGGGAAAAATTAACTTCGTGTCTCACTTGACATATTTCAAGAACGAACCTTTTTTCATCATGATAGATGAGTATCATATCCCTCATATGGTAAGTGTTCGACTCAACCGTCTCCACCTCCTGATCCAACTGCTTCGGCAAACTATAAATAATAACTATATATTTACAGACATTTCTTCCGATACCGAAGTGGAAAGTGCTGGCGATAGCTGCAAGCAACGTGTCAGCTACGGCATTCCAATATTTGTACATTCGCGTGGTAAGTTATTATCTTATACATAACAACATTATATTTTCGAATACTTCAACAGGTTCCAGTCACAGACGAGTCGCGCCTAGGTTCGCGAAAAATATGGTACGCTCTTGATGAAATTCTAAAGAAGGTTATCAAAACAGGATATGACAACAACCTGCTGGCGGTGGTGACTGACCATTGCCAGGCCAATCTAGACATGATTGGTCGATGTGCAGCCAAATTCCCCAATTTCCCCATTTTATGGGATAAAAAACATATGGTTAATAAGCGTCTCATAACAGACAATATGTTGAACTATTTATATGGCCAAACGTATACCCACACGAATTGGGAATTTAAATTAAGAAATGTTCCAGAGTTGAATAACTCGATGGACGATGGCTTACGCTTAAGTTACCAGAACGAAGTGCTCATGTTCAGAAAAATGCTGCAACGCTATTTTAGCAATTCAAAGGATCCTTTGATAGCCCATAAAATAAGTAGCGACAGATTGGAGTCCTTGGGCACAGCCCTTGGGCGAAAAATTGTTGAAATAATGTTGTATGCTGCGAATCTGCACCCACAAAAGGAGCTTCGGCAATGCCCTCTATACTACTTGGCCCGTGTGGTGGGGATAATAATTTTACTGACCACTCCCAAAACCATGAATGATTTAAAAGACGAAATGGACAGCAGCGTGGACAAGGTCGGCAAGGTAAGTACTCGCTGAAATAGCAACTTTGGTTGCTACAATAATTAATTTTATTTATTCTTTAATTAATAACAGCTGTCCAATTGCAATAAATTAGAAAATTGCGCTTAAATCCATGTTTAGCCTAGAAGCCTAAAACCTTTTTTTAGACTAAATCCAACAAAAGCAGGAGTTTAAAATCAACCAGCCTAGTGAAAAATAGAGTCATTTATTGTATAAAATTATGTGGGCATAGCTGGGCGCTTTTTCTAGCTAGTAATTTTCGACGGAACATCAAAATTAAGCAATATAATATGGTTTCCATCCCCAGGACGGAGAACGATTAACCTTTTAAAGCCAAGGGGGTAATGAAAATTTAATAACGTTAGCGCAGTTCAGGTGAAGGATATCGTGTTTTTTTTTAAGTTAGAACCAACATGATGCCAAGAATCTAAGCCAAGTATTTAAAACAAGCTAGTCAAGTAGAAAACAGATTCATTAGTTGGATATAATTATGTGGGCAGTGCTGAGGGTTCTGCTCTACGGTTCCGTTCCTAAAAGGTATGCACTAACTAGCGTCTAGTATGTACGCCACATCGGAGGGGGGTCTTGGATCCCTAGAATAGCTAGTTATATCCCACGGAATATAGAAATCGATCTTGAATTCGTCAGTATATTTGCGGTATATTTCGAAAATGAGGCGTTATGTTTCGGTGTATTTCTGAACGTCGGACGGTATATTTTATCGATAAATCCGCGGTCACACTGCTAACAAATGTTTTAATCACAAAAAAAATAAATATAAATGAAGTGAAGCGGACGTTCCAACAAAAACAAAGAGATTGCGACGAACAAAATGCTACGGGTAAACGAACTGAGCAATTAATAATCGATGGAGGAAAATTACTCACCTCACCGAACGGCTTCCCGATGAATTTTTTTCGCAGGCAATCGGCAAAAAGGACAGGGACATCTTCGACGAGGTTTGGCCCGATAAGAGGAAGATTGTGCTGAAGCTGTTGCGGCAGGACACAGTTTCGCAGCGCGAATGGCAGGACCTCTTCTTTGGCGTGCACTTTGTGTGCCTGTGGGACGAAAAGGGGGCCGCCAAGATTTATGACTGCCTGCAGCAGGACATCGTCGAGTTCATTGTGCACGCCCAGAGCCAGGTACAGGCGCAGCGGGGCGAACAGGCCCTGTTGGCCACCTACATTGTGGAGTGGCGAAAGTTCTTCACACAGTCCAACTATCTGCCCCTGCCCTTCCGCCAGCTGGAGCAGTCGCCGCAGGTGAAACCCGCCTCCAGCTCGTCCGCCTCGGGGGCAAGCACCAGTGCGTCCACCTCCAATGCGGCCTCCTGCAGCAATCAGGCGGCCACAAGGAGTTCCTCCGTGAATCCGGCCGCATCCTCCTCTGCTGCAAGCCCATCTGGAGCTTCCACATCAGCAGCTTCTGCCACAGCGTCCACCTCCGCAACCGCCTCAACAAGCGCCGCTGCGGCCGCGAGCAATACGGCCAGCTCCAGCTCGAAGAAGAATCCGACAGAGGACAGTCCCGTGCGCAAGCTGATGCTCGACTCGTGGAACAAGCACATCTTCCACGACATCAAGCACCGTCTGCAGGATTCGGCCATGAAGATCGTGCACGCCGAGCGGAATGGCGACGCCTACGATGCCCAGCTGGTGGTCGGCGTGCGCGAAAGCTACGTGAATCTCTCCTCCAACGCAGAGGACAAGCTAGAGATTTACCGCGAGAACTTCGAGATGGCCTATCTGAAGGCCACCGCCGAATTCTATCGCCTAAAGTCCACGGAACAGCAGCAGCAGAACGGAGTGCTAGCCTACATGAAGTATGCGGACGCCAAGCTTCGGGAGGAGGAGGTGCGCGCCAAGCGCTACCTGGAGCCCAGCAGCTTCAGCATACTCACCTACACCCTGGTCAAGGTGCTCATTGTGGACCACCTCAATTCGATTATCGCCGAGTGCCCGGCCCTCATTAGGGACTACGAGACGGAGCGTCTCAATCTGATGTTCCGGCTGATGGATCGCGTGCTGCACGGCGTCGGTGTGGAGGCCATGATGGGG